GGGGGGGGGGGGGGGGGGGGATTCAAAGAAAATTCATTTGGCCAGCAGGGGAGAAAGAGAGTCTCGACTCGAAAGTTAGCAGGAAATTATATTTTCTACAGTGGTTAGAGATTCTCGACTGGTGATTTGGTGAGACGCGATGAAGATGGGACGAAGATGCGACGAGACTCGGAGCGAGATAGTAGCGCGCATGGTGATGCTGCTTGCAATTACGATACTTTAATTTTATGCGCGAAGTTAAGCTCCTTTTAGGAATCCCGACTAGGGACGTGGTCGTTGCTGGACCTGCGCAGCGCTAACCTAACCTGCCGTTAACCCAACCTAACCTCACCTTCGAGCAGCGACCATTCCCAACACACTACTACTTGTCCGACTTTCGCAATGGTATCGGTATACATAGGATGCTGGATAGCCACCATCCGCATTCTCATCTTCACTTTATGTCTTCTTCCTCATCGCCTTTCTTTTTTCATTTTCTCATCTCATTTTCTCTTTTCCGCCTTTTCCGTTTCACTTCGGCGCCCGACATTTCCGAGCGGGAAAACCCGGCTTGGCAATTATTTTAATTTGTTTAGGGACTTGGTCGCCTAGCCAGTATCACGACCCTGACGACTGCACGCCTCACTCTGAATAACTTTACTCACGTCGCAGTATCTACGAATTACTTGAATCCCCTAGGATCTACGGGACACCTCAGGTATTAGGGAAAAAAAGACTGTTCCGCGAGTGTTTACCTGGTGCGTGTTGCCTGCGAGGAAAAATAGATTTTCAAAGAGAAGGAGTATTTTACTAGGCAACGTGATGGAATTTCGGAATAGTGGACATGGAGGAACACAGAGAGAGAGAGAGAGAGAGAGAGAGAGAGAGAGAGAGAGAGAGGGAGAGAGAGACTGGAGACAGGGATAAGCTAATATTTTCAAAACATGACGAATTTCTGAAATTCATGAAATTTCGCATAGTCGTCCTCAACTTCGAGGAAATTTTAGCTTCTCTCGGCCAACGGGATAATTTTTAGGAACGTAGGAAAACGCGGAAACCATCCGACGAAAATTTCGTTGTAAATTACGCGTCGTGGACAATTAACTTTCCATAAATCCTAACCAGTTTATTCATCCCCACGATCCTTGAACCACCCCTGGTTCTGGTGCGCGTGGAAACTGTGGACTTGCACTGTGCTCCAGAAATATCGAGGGTGACGTCACGCCTGCCGCTATTGCCTTGCTTACTCGAAGATGAATCGATTACCTTCGGAGTCTTACGTCTTTAAATCGGAAGGATTCCGCGTCGGATAGCATTGCTCTTGTGTGAAGTAGAGCCACAACTCCTGGTGGTCTGAAAATTTGAAATCCGATAAAAGTCTCGTTGATATGAATATCTTGCAAAGGGCAGGAAGAATCAGAATCGCAGGGAGGCTGCGCAGCTATTATTCAGAAAAATGGAAATGGTGAGATGATTGAGTTTTCGATTTGGCCGCGTTTCCACATAAAAGGCATGATAATCGAGGAACTCATCGAGCCTCCGTGTGGTATCGCCAGGACCTAAGATATATTTCCCCATAGGACATAGGTGGACGAAAGTTGAGGAAGCCGAGGTTATCTGACTCTCGGACGAGCGCGCTCGCTATGAGGCTGCGAGGGTGGAAGCGAAAGGGTAGAAGGAGGACGAAAGAGGGCGAAGAGAGATAGCATCCAATCCTAGCATCCAAGAAGGCGACTATGATGAACTGCGAAAGTTCAGTGAAAAATTGGCCTGAGCTGATAAACCGCGGCGGCATCCACCAATATTTCTTAAACAGGAACTTGAACCGCAACGCGAGGTTACGTTCTGCCGCGCGATAACTCGATTCGCCATTTTATACTTTCTCGAGAAACTCGAGTGTTTTACCGCAAGAACAAGTATTTCCGCTCTGCAGCCGCAGACTCCTTTTCCGGTTGCCGATTATGCTGAACGAACGGAAAGCATTACCGTCGTGGATTACGTTCCGCCCTAAGGCGATTAAAGGCTATTCTTAAAGAGGGAGGGACGCGAGTGGTCAGACCAGACCCTAACACACTTACGACTAGGTCGGGAAATCTCTTGGATATTTACCTCGACCTACCCCTATCTGGAGGGTGGAAGAGAAACACTAAACCTGGACAGCGGTTTCACCCGATTCCGCTAAGAAAGCAGGAGGTTGAGCTCCGGGAGCTCCAAGGACTCCAAGGACTTCATATAACGGATCTCGGGATCCCTCGATGACTGTAAAGTTTCTGAGGATCTTCCAAGTCCTTGCATCTCCTTGCGCAGGTTCTGCTTAACTATAATTAATAAAATGAGCGTCGCTGCATCCTAGCCGGCGAGTTAACGTCGGCTCAAAGGAAATCAGGATCACATGAACCCGATAGAATTTGCAGGATAATGAACGTTTCTCGGGTGTATACGCGTGTACTCCTACAGGACTAAGGATCCATAGGACAATAAGACATGATTTTCATTTTCTTTGCAGCTACGATGCCCGCAATCGTAAGTACGGCAAAGCGAATTTCTGGAGTGCACAGCACGTCTGGGGAAGCCGGGCAACCTTCAGGACGAACCCTCCAGCACAGTTGATTATTCAGGACCTCCGTGAGAGCGACGAGGGTGTGTACCGTTGCAGGGTGGACTTTCGAAACTCGCCAACCCGTAATCTCAAAGTCAACTTTACGGTAATCGGTGAGTAGATCTTTCTAACCTTTACAGGAAAGGAGTCCATTTTCTATTCTCTTTGTTTAGCAAACCCGAGGACACTTGTCGTTTTCCCTCCAATCTCAGGAAAATCGATGAAGCTTTCGTCAACTTACTGGCTATCCTTATCGAATCGAAAGCTGCTGGGGGATCTCGAAGGAGCCCAAACTTAGTCCAGGGATTCCCCAAGTAGCGAGGAGGTTAGGAAACGACGTTCGAGCTAAGCTTCTCTTCGAAGTCTCGACCTTTCATGGCATCAACGTCCCTAATTTAATGAGGGGCTAAACCTAATTTGTCCGTCGATCAACCATTACGCTGGGTTAAAGCGTGGTACGCGACTCGCTGGTTCAGGCACTTCCCGTCCTCCAGTCTATAAGGAATCTGAAGAGCATTTCAGGATGATACCTAGATTCTAATACGTATGTAGCTGTATTGGGACCACTCTGGAAGACGGGATCATCTTAAGAGTATTGATCCTTTGATTTGGATAACCGTGCTAAGGGCAGAGTCTACCCTTCTTCAGCTCCGTTTGAAGTTACATCAGAGGTCATTTCCATTCATCCAGAATCAGTCAGGGGTGATTATTATTTCAGATGAAATCTTCGAGGAACTAGAGGTGGAACTTAACGAGCCGTTAAACTTTGGATAATGGCAAGTATCGGGCTTTGCAAGCTCCAATCCGATTAGGAATTAGTTTGGATTTTGACGTTCAGTTTTAAGGGCGACTTCGCCTCCCTCCTCTCTGAACTTCCTTCACTACCTTCAACTTCACTTAACTTCATTTAGCCTTTAATTCACTATGGACCAATCCGATCATCCGAACCTTCTCGCGATTCACTTTGCATGACAGGACTTGACCGCTGCACAACCACGTGTTACTCTGCTTCGAAGTTTTCTATTTTTATCTAGACCATTTTTTTCCTTCGCTTTCCAGAAACATTCAATAACAGCAAGTACCATCATCAATAACAGAGGGTTGTAAGTCTCGGACTGCTATCTATAAGGTTCCTAGTGTAGGTCTACAAATAGAACCCGACTGGTAGATGAATATTGGCCGGCCGCCCGAAGGCTCCGCTTCTAAAGGCGTTTAAAGACTTTATTAGAGGCAACCGAGTGTGCGGCTGTGGTTCAGCGTGATTCGATGATTAATGGGACACGGCTTTGTCCAGATAAGGTATCCGGTTCTTCTCGGTTCTTCCCGGTAGCTATACGCCTGTACCTTCCGACCTTCCCGATACTCGCACCCTCTCCTCTCTACCAACCCTAATCTACCTCCGCCGATCCACTTTTGCTTCGCTTTGTCCAAAGAAAGGACAAGCATCCCGTCTTTTCTATCTAGGTACACCACTATCAACGGGGTGGACGCTGCCAAGGGATAAAAACATCCCCCATTGAAAACATCTTTTATCAAGCTTCGTAGTTTTAGCAAAATCTTCTAGACCTCCTTGTACCTCAGCACAGTCTTCTTCGATCCAGCATTCTTAACTTCGTTGTCAGCGTACAGCTTCCTTCCACGGTTTTCTTTTCCACTACTTTTGCATTACGATTGGAAACTATCCTTCTTCTTCTTCTTCTTCTTCTTCTTCTTCTTCTTGTCAGATCTTCCGTTATATCCCCACTCTTGGGGTAATTACTAGTACAGTCTACTTGAAAGCCATCCTCGAGCTCAATTTTCTCCTTCTTCTCAGTCGAGATTGTCTTGTGTATTCACGACTTACATTTACGTGTACGTTGTGACGTGATTTTTCGATTCACGGTCACAAGGCGACTCCGGATACCGATACAGATAACGTTCTCGCTTTCTGGTTCCCTTCGAGGTCGCCACCCTACTCAGAAGCTTCGCTCTCTGGTTGATTCGTATAGTTACGCCAATGCTCTCGGAAGATTTCGTTATTCTTTAGTTGCGGTCGAGGTGTTCGAATCTGCCGTGGGGAGATAGTCTGGACGTACCGAGTTGTCCGGCAGAGGCGTCTCCACGGACCGGCAGAAGCTCGGACGCGTGAGCGAAGGGTGGACGGCTGAAGGGAACGTCAGATTTTAAGAAAATACGTTACAATGTAAAGCTGGAATTAATGCATGCTAAAGGAAAAAGTGCCGTGCGTTAAAATGACTCTCGATAAATGTGCCTTGTGCCTCAGGAACCTTTAGGAAAATGCGGACCTTCCTGTCCTTGGGGTAAAACATCAGTGAAAGTATATAATGTAAAATACCTTTTGCAAAAATTCTTACGTCAAGTAAACCGTAAGGTATTGTCCTGTATAATACAGCCAAGAATATTTTATGTTCCTTGGGGACATTAAAAAACTGACAGTAGACAACGGACAACACGACAAGCTCATAACTCACAGTGCTGGACATTTCGTCGGGAAATATTACATGGCGATCGTCGAGCTTATAGGCGCAGCAGGTATCGCATAAAGTTAAAATCCCTTTCCTTCTGGCAAGTCCACGGGGAAGATCTCCTGGAAACCGACAAAAAATTCCGTAGTCGTTACATAAAAAAAAAGGAACTCGAGAAGACCCGAAGAGTGCAAAAGGTCCGAGAGGGTGACGTCTTGGAAGGACGATTTATCGCTATGGTGTCCGCTGCCGGGAGGGAAGTAAAATAGCCTAAGCAGATGTGCATATCAGAGTGAGACACACACGTGCATCCATACACGCACGAGGCTCAAAGTGGGAAGCCTCGGGCTGAAATGAAGAATTACAGTTTAAAAGAGAAAGCGACGTCTCTCCATAGCTTCCTTCCCAAGTTTTTGTCTTATGATGGTTGAATCGTCTGAACGAGCTCGAAGTTTATCTTATTTACGCGATAGCGACGGCAGTGGCGGCAGGGACGTCGCGTTAAAAAATCATGAATCACGCCTAACGAGCGTTAATAATAGATCGGCCAATCGGAGTTTGGTAAAGTTTTTTCGTGGCTAATGCCCGAGAACTTTTGCAAGAGTTTCATGCTCAGGAGAAGGATAGGACTAGGTACAATAGGGAAATTTAAAGGAGGATGAGAAACGCTTGGAAGAGGAGATGGTGGAGGGGTAAGGATCGAGAGGACCTCGAATATAATCTAGAGGAAAGGCTACTGGGTGGGTTGGGGGGGAAGAAGGGGTTTCGAGATGCCCAGAATCGTAGACTGTAACGGGGTGCTTCCAGAGTCTCTTTATTACAAACTCGGAATACGAATCGTCTGGCTTCCGCATCGGAAAGTAGAACTCTCCCGGCTCTTCCATCTTTCGAAGTTATTCCTCCGGATAATTGCAGAGTCCCCTGTCGTCTGGACGTGTCTACTTGGAAGAAGGCAAGGAACGATGGGAGCGGAACGAGTGCGAGGAAGAAAGATTGAATTAAAAAGAACTGCCTGGCAGTAGGTATCGGTATCGATAATGGGGCGGAAGTGGAGGTTGCAAAAATCATACGAGTCATACGTGGGCGAGACTATAGATGTTGTTGCAAATGACAAATGACTCTACTGTGTATGTATATGGTCGAAATCGTACGAGTATCAGCTCAGGGTACTTTTTCGAGAATGTCAGTTATTATTGCTGAGCCGTTGGATTCTTGTTGGTAAGATAAAGCAGACAAAACCCGAATGGAAGTACGAAATATTTCGAAGGATCAACGGATGGAATGATTGGCTCAATAATTCCTGCTAAATTCGTCGGACGTTTCGTCCTCCGTTATTAATTTTCTCAGTAAGAAGAGTCAACGACAGAATGTTAGTTTGACGAGGCGTGATTTTTTATCGGACAGTTTCGCAGCCGGAAGCTCCCGTAGCTTCGGAAATTGGCCGTCCAATCGCGAAGCTCATCCAAAGAGCTACGAGAAGAAGCAAGAGGAGGAAGAGGAGGAAGATGAGGAAGAGGAGGAAGAGAAGGGCAACCAGGACGACGTGGCTCCTGCCTAAAAAGGGGATGAAAATGGAAAAAGGGGGAAGGGCGACCGTCTGCTCGACTTCCATAATTTTATTAATAGTTCAGACAGATACAAATGGTGTTTCTTTCGATAGCAAACGCTCCGAGCATTCCCCCCGTTCCCTCCGCCACCTTATTCCTTCGAGCGAATCCTTAACCCCCCTGAAATCCTCTGGCATCTCCCCATTCGCCGTTTCCTCCATCAGCAGGAAAAACCACGAATCTATCTCGGTGGCTTCCCGTGAAACTTGGAAGAGATACAGGATGGATGAGGTCCTAAAAGTTTAATTTTTCACGCATTTTACGTCATATTTCTTTCAATCTATCCACCGGCCCACCTTGCAAGGCGATTCCCTCTTTCCGAAGGTTAGGCTTAAGGGTATTTTGCCATTTTCATGAAACGACGGGACAACCTGTGCTGCCGGAAGGATAAGAAATAGCAGCGGTTCCTCCTGGCAAGTATTCGAAAAAAATGGTCGATGGTGGAATGTCCTTGTGAGAAGATCAGATTATTTCCACACTTCGACACGTTCAAATGGTTCTTCAATCATCTAGTATTCAGAAGTGAGACAGAAGACGTCGCTGGTTTCATATGCGCAGAAGCACATTATTGTATAACTCAATGACAGCACAGAATTCGGTTCGCTAGACTTTCGACGTCGTATCACGATGGACCCTGAAACAGGAAGAAACAGGAAGAAACAGCCAGTTGCTAGTCGAGCGACGTGACGTACGATGCATTAACTATAGCAAGTGCTCGTAAGCTACTTTATTTAGCTATAGTGCTTCACGAAGAGGAGAAAACTTAGGCTCACAGTGACATATCCTCAAGCAGGAGGAATCTCCTTAATCGCAATTCGTATTCATGTAAAACAAAGGAGGATCGGAGACACGTGACGCCAGGCGCGAGATACGACTCCCCGAAATGTCCTGATCAGTAAGCCTTGGCATTCCATTAGGACGTGCTGGTTTGTACAAGGGGTGCCACCTGCGAACTTCTCTGGGAGTAGGCAGGGAAGCATCCAGCTAGCCAGCCTCTGCGAGCCAGCTTAGAATTAACTCGTTGAGTTCAAATTAACTGAT